ATATATATATAGCTACCCTATAAGCACGAATATTTCGACTACTAATAGCCTTCTACTACCTTAAAGACTTCGAGACAAAATAATATAATATAAAAACAGTATTTCTATACGCAATCCTATATTAAGAAGTCTATTACTAGCCTCTACCGGGATTCTTAATACCTAGGCTATGCCTAAAGCTATTAAAAGTACTATACGGGCTCTATATCTCTCTAAAGCTATAGTTTAAAGAGATATCTAGTTTCTTTACTAAACTAGGAGCTTAGTAGCTAGTAAAAGACGCCTACGTACTAGTTTATAAGGGCGTTATTATCTTTATCTTCGTGGATAATATCGTTATAATATATCTAAAAAGGTAAAAATAAGATTAAGAAGAGCTATATAAGGCTATTATAAAGAAATACACCGTTATATATATAGGAGAGCTATGCTAGTTCCTTAGTATTAAGATTATTAAGGATAAGGATCTTAAGAAGATATAGCTCTCGTAAGCTTCCTATATCTCTAAGACTATAAAGAAATATTATATCCTTAATAATAATATCCTTTATAAGCCTAAGATCTCGCTAATAATAGAAGAGCTCGTCCGCTATAAAAAGTAGGCCTTAAAGGAAGAGATATATAAATATATCTCTTTAATTAGGTCGCTTATTTATTATAAGAATATACCCTTATATTCCTATTTTACTGTTATAAAGAAATAATAGGCATAGGGAGGCTTTATAGAATAAGCTAGTAAAAAGAGGCTCTATAATACAGTCTAAGGGAATAACCCTTAAAAGACAAAGACCTCTACTAGACATCTATACCTTCCTCTAGGAAAGGCGGGTTAGGATAAGCCTATCCTTACAAACAAAAATATGCATAAAATGCATAAGTCAATTACGAGCAGAACGGATACCCTATTGCCTATTTTGGCCTAGCGGTTCCGAAGATATCCGCGATACGAGAATAGGTAGGGCATAGAACATTCTAGTTAAATCCACTACTTATGCTAGAACCCATAGTCTTACGTTAACTATCACGCTATAATCAGACCACCTACTAAGTTAGGAAGATATACTATAGATAGAGCTTTTCAAGCACTATAGAATGTGCTAGAAAGCTAACTAATTGGTCTACTAGTGGGCGAGCAATAGTCTATAAAAGACGAAGGATTTCCCTAGGAGTAGTAGATAGAATAAGCAAGTATCTTTTGCAACGCTATTCTTTTAATATATTATTCGGCTCCTTATATACTCGTTATAAATTCCGGACAAAATCCTACCCTATACTCCTTCGACCGATCTTTCCGCTTACGTTATCGATTACCCGATTCTACGCTTATTACTTATACCTTCTTATATTTATCTAGTAATTTATACTAGGCTAGATATCGCATTTATAGCTAGAAAGCTAGCCTAATATAATTATAACCCTAGGCCGCGCTATAGGCACGAAGCATATAAGTGCCTAGCTTACCTCTATTATATAAGAAACCGCTATATCTACTTTACGGCGATAAACTTAATAAGGCGGCTAATATATATATCCGACTCCTTATACGCCGATAACCTAGAGACTAGGAAGTCCTTATAAGGATATATATTCCTACTCCTTAGTAGGCTAATTAACTAGAAAGCTACTAAGTAAGCTACTATAATAACGTCCTCTATAAAAGCTAAATTATTAGCACTCTTATAGATAGTTAAGGAATAGGTAGTATTTAGCCGACTAATTAAGGAGCTTAGTATTAGTATTAAAGGGACTATAGAGCTCTAGTATAATAACTTTTAGACTATTAGGCTTCTAACTAAATTAAGCGCGAAGCTTAAGAGGAACCTTAAGTACGTTAACGTTTATAGATACTAGCTTCGTTAGGAGGTATAGTAAGATTAGATATAAGTTAGCTAGATCGTATTAGTAGATAACCTAGCTAATAGTATAATAAAGGCGCTTATATACTAAAAGTATTAGAGCTTTATTAAGTAACTAGGACTAGTAATATAGCCGGAAGATATATTAAGAGATAATATACCTAACTACTATATTAAGGAGTAATATCTCCTTACTATAGCGAACTCGATAATCGCTAGATCCTAATAATAAGAGCACTACTATATATACTAAGATTAGGGGATTTTAATAGCGTAGTTAGATCTTAATTTAGTTAAGAAACTATAAAGATCTAAGGGGTAGAAGTTAGCCCTATTTACTACTAAGAAGTAAAGCTATTATTAGACTACCCCTTAATTAGTATAATACTATAGCGCTTAAACTTATGATAATTATAATAGCTTTACTAAATTAAGACTAATTAATATAAGGAATATATTATTAAAAAGCCTACTTTTAAGATTACTTTTATCCTAAATAATAACGTCGCTAGTAAAGGTACTATAGTACCTAGGCCACTTAAAGGGATACCCTACTATGCCCCTCCTTATAAGGAAGGTTATAAATATAACTTATAACTACTAGTTAAACGGTAAGAGTAGGTTATATAACCCTATTAATCGTAAGTTCGACTCCCCTTAGGGCGAAAGAGTAGGTTATATAACTATACCCTAGGGGGGGCGTGGTTAACGAACTTAGGGGCCCGAGGAGATAGGATATATAGAGGAGGGTTCTCCTTATATCCTATCCTCTCGGGTCCCGGCTTTTGCCTTTTACTGCATTTACCTCCCCTATTTTTAGACAACCTCCTTAAATAGACAGCAAAGCAATAATTAGGAGCCTCCCCTATTTTTAGACAACCTCCTTAAATAGACAGCAAAGCAGCCGAATTTAACATCGGAATAGCCTTATATTTATTAGACCGAACCCTCCTCTACCTATTGCCCCACCATCTAGAAGCTAGGGTGGCAAGGGGGTGTGTTGAGGAGAGTAGGCATAAGAGGCCATAGTTATGCTTAGTAGACCTAATAGTTATGCATAAGGAAGCCTGCCTAACTAACATAACTCCCCTAGCCTAAGGATATTATATAGGCCTAACTTAGGTATAGGAACATCCTAATGCCCTCTTTTAGCTAGCTATATATAGTCACTATACCTATATAAGCCCCTCCCTTGTCCCAATAGATAGACCAGGACATGCATCACTAAATTTACCTTTCTGTGCCCCTATTTCTTCTACTGTGCTCTCAAGCCACTGCTTGAGAGTAACTAACTAGGGAAGAGGAAGCTATTTACAAGAAACGGAATGTGCACCCGGTAATGGGGACATGCAGCCGGGGCTGCGTGCCCTGATCGCGGGGTAGGGTGTCACGTGGGAGTCGTGCATGAACCGTGATGGTATCGCTACCGATGCACGGGTTACTCAGCAGGTTAGTATTCCAACAGGTTTAGTTATAACTTGCGTGCTTTAATTTTAAGTCGTTCATGCGCTACTTTAAAATTTTCTGGTTCTCAACGTATTTTTTAGTCGTAAAGTAGTCGTCTATAAAAGGCCGACTTGAATCCAGCTTTTCCATCTCTCTTTTACCTTCAATATCAAGCTTATCTGAGCAACCTACATATTACTCTTGCTCCCTTGTTTCTTTTATGCAGCTAGATGCTGCTGTAAAGCCTCAAGTATGGCTTCTTTTTTCATTGCGCGCAGGGATACAGATCGAAATCAAGCCGAGTATGCTGCTCAACGTCTCGCCTCCGTTAATACCGAACTCTCTAAGCAGGGTTACAGCCTAGATAGGTATTCCACCCCTCATCTCGCAGCTTGCCTGCCATGTACTCAGAGCATTAGTGTATCGTGCCGACTGCGAGTCGACAGGTTGGCCTGGTGGCACTTCGTATTTCTTGTCCATTTCTTTTCTCTAGCCTTGTCTTCACCCTGCTTCCCGCTCCCCGACAAGCTTCTACCATCTGTCGGCCCTGCTTTGGCTCCTTTGAACTCTTGCTACCCCGAAGCGATCCGCGCTGTGTATGGCCAGAATACAACTTTCGTCACTGCTGCTGGCGTCAGCAGCTCTGGCCTCCTTCATACCCTTTGTAAGCGGCTCGGGCGGGATCACCCCCCAATTCCTAAATCCGATGTCGCTTTTCGCTTGACTATTGTTGAAGGCCGCCCTGACCTCGGGCGTCTCGAGATATTACCGTCGCGTCTTGACAGGTATCAAGGTGGTTGGTTCTCTGCCCCTGGTCATTACCTAGCTCCTCAATTGCCAGCACTTGCCTGCAATGTGTCAGCCACTGCGCTCTTTACTTCTCCACAGTATTACCATCAGTCCTTTTATTTTTGTAGTATAGAGAAAGAGTAGGGTAGGGCATTGGTCAGGTGAAGGGGGGGTCAGGTCGACGATGTTCTCAATTATCAAGGACCACAACTGATTCCTATACGTGGAGCCCTTCTACTTACCTCCATGCCCGTTAATATCTTTCTTGAAGCCTGGCAAGACTCAAACACCTTTTATTTATTCATATACCTTTCTTATATATAATGAAATATCCAACTCTCAAGAGCCTAAGCGGCGAGACAGAACTGCCGACACTTACATAAGGGCGACTCGCCGCCTCGAAGAGATGGACCAATAAGTCCCCGATACTTTGTATAGCGCTATTTATCACTAATCTGTTATTTATCTTGATCAAGCCGCGGCTCATATACGCACAGGCCTACAAAAAGGTACTGTTTGTTGTTTTGGCGGGGTCTCCTCGTGCCCGCCTGTACTCTGTGTCACAGCTGAGGCCAATAAGCGTTATACACGTTGGCGGGCAGCCTCGGGGCCTTGGGGCGTTATTACCGTTAGGACGAATCGAGGCTCCCGTTTACGACGCCAATACATCAAATGGGGGCCAAATAAGGCTCACGGACGGTAGACGCATGTACAGAGCATGTCGCCCTCCGCACTTGTAGCTGGATATTGGGGCTGAAGGCTCCCCGGCTGACTGCATGTGGATAGCTTGCTCGAAGAGAGACATAAGCCGCGGCTCGCCTCTTGCTCTCAAAGTCAAGTTTTCACAAGTCGTCGTTGGACTGTCATCCAGGCAGGCTGCACTTCAAAACCCCCAGTCGATAAAGCAACATGTCCGATGCAAGCATTTACACCATCGGCTGGATCAGCGCCCTTAGACTCGAGTCGGTTGCTGCACAGGAATTCTTGGACGAAGAGCACAAAGCCATAGAGTGGCAGCATCCCGACGATGGCAACCATTACACGTTGGGCAGCATCGGCAAGCACAACGTTGTCATGGCCGTGCTGCCTACAGGTGACAACGGAATTGCGGCCGCGACAATGGTGGCAAAGGACTTGAAGCACACCTTTAGCAACGTCAGGGTCTGTCTAATGGTCGGCATCGGCGGCGGCATGCCGAGCGATAGACACGACATACGGCTAGGGGATGTCGTCGTTAGTGCCCCGTCCTACCACGAGCCTAGCGGTAACCACGGCGGAGTAGTTCAGTACGACTACGGCAAGACGATTGAGGCAAGGTGCTTCCAAAGCACACACTACTTAAACCGACCCCCAACCGCTCTCCTTACCGCTCTGAACGCGCTGCAGACAAGATACGAACGCAAGGGAAACAATATCGAAGCAAGTATTGGGGAGATAATCAAGGCAAGCCCGAGGCTGCGTAAAAAGTACGGCCGGCCGGATCAAAGCACCGACAAGCTGTACTCGAGCCGGGACAGGAGCCTCGTCGATCGGCCCGAACGCGGCGACGACGACGACAACCCGGCAGTTCACGAGGGCCTGATTGCCTCTGCAGAGAGCTTCATGGAAAACGCCCGAGTTCGAGATGAGCTTGCCGAGGAGCTCGACGTGCTGTGCTTCGAGATGGAGGCGGCTGGCTTGATGAACACCTTTCCCTGCATGGTCATCCGCGGCATCTGTGACTACGCCGACGCCCGCTGGCACGTCACCGAGTGGCGAGGCTACGCCGCCATGGCGGCGGCGGCCGTTGCAAAAGACCTCCTGGGCATGGTTGTACCGAGCCAGCTGGCGGCCGAGAAGAGCATCGCCCAGCTGCTCGGCCAAAGTTAGTTTACGCTCAGGGAGACTTGTTGATCCAATGTCCAATTGTTAACACAGACTCGCTTGTGTGACCAGTTGGTGCCGACGTCGGCAACATGAAGACGGTGACAAGCAGCACCAAGGTCGAGGTGGGCAACTTGCGGTGAGACTCGTAGCGCCGACATTCGGGTAAAATGCACCCTCTAATCCCTTGCTTGTAGTGAGGCCGTGCTCAATGCCGACCAGAGAGCGGTGCTTGATCGCCTGCCCGCCTCCAACGCCTCGTTTGACTCGACCGATGAAGAAGTCCAGCCTAGGTGCTTCCCAGGCACGCGAGTCGACATCCTCGAGCAGGTCATCAGCTGGGCTCAGCACTCGGACGCCAGCATGAAGTCGATATTCTGGCTAAACGGCATGGCGGGAACCGGCAAGTCGACTATATCTCGTTCCGTCGCCCGATGCTTGGACGAAAAGGGCATTTTAGGCGCCAGTTTCTTCTTCAAGAGAGGAGAGTTGGATCGGGGGAGCTCGTCCAAGCTCTTTACGACGATTGCGACTCAGCTGGCGTCGAGAAGGCCGGCCATTGCCCCTCGTATCAAGGAAGCCATCGATGCCGACTCTAGCATCTGCACCAAGGGGCTTCTGGTACAGTTCGACAAGCTTCTGCGAGAGCCCCTATCAAAGGTTGCGCAGGAAACCAGTCACGGATCCGAGTCACTCGTTGTCATCATCGACGCCTTAGACGAGTGTGAGACTGACGCGAGCAAGCTCAAAGCAAAGGCTCAAATGATCATCAATCTCTTTAGTCTCAGCCAAAGCATGGGGCTAAAAGTCATGATCACCAGCCGGCCAGAACTGCCCATCTACCTCGGGTTCAAGTCGATTGAAGGTGACTACCAGGACATTGCTCTGCATCAAATCGCCGAATCGGCAATAGAGCACGATATCCGTCTTTTTCTCGACCACGAGACGAAGCGGATCCGAGATGAGCACAATGTCCTCGCCCAGCTTGGGGGGGAACTGCCCCTAGACTGGCCCGGAATAGCCACGACGCTGTGTCTCGTAAACATGGCGGTTCCGCTCTTCATCTTTGCCGCCACTGTATGCCGCTTCCTCGAGGATGACGTATGCGGAAACCCCGACGAGAGACTCCAGGAGGTGCTGCGCTACTCGACCAAAACTCAACGATCTCGAATGGAGGCCACGTACCGACCCGTCTTGGACCGGCTGCTTGTCGACCTGTCTTGCGAAGATAGAGACAAGGCTCTTGGGCGGTTTCGACAGATTGTCGGCTCCATCATCATCCTCGCGAGTCCGCTGTCGACAATCGCCCTATCACGGCTTTTATCCATGGCTCAAAAAACCATTGACAACCAGCTGCGCAGGCTTCATTCGGTCCTACGGGTTCCTCGAGAAGCCTCGGCGCCGGTGAGGCTTCTGCACCTTTCTTTCCGCGACTTCCTCAGCGACCCCGACAAGCGGGACAAAAACCCCTTTTGGATTGACGAAGAACATGGGCACCTCGAATTGGCGCATCGCTGTCTAGCCGTCATGACAGAGTCGCTACGGACCGATATCTGTGAGCTGAAGCTGAAGAGACTGGAAGCGTCCATGCCTAGCCAGGTGCTCACGGTCGAAGTGATCATTCATCACGGCTGGTCGGCAATAGGAAAAAGTTCTCTCCTCAGCAGACATGGCTCCATCGCCGATGCAACGCGGACACTGTGTCTCCCTCATGAGGAGCGGGAATTTGTCGGGCTTTAATGATTCTTCCTCCAAGCGGCAGGGGGGGTTGTTTTGTGTCATGTTGGCAATGCACCTCCGTTTTGCCGTTTCTCGCTTGCCTATGAGAGAAACCATGAGCTCAGCGACCTCGACGCGCAGACGCAAGAAGTCATCGAAGTCCAAATTGTCTGTTTGCTGGCATAGCAGTTCTGCAAGTCGCGCGCGCTCTGGTATGTGAAGGTCGATCGCTGGCGCTGAGTACGCATCGTCGTGATCATCGAGACCACCCTCGGCAAGCTGCCGCTCAATCTCCCACGTGGGGCGATGATAGAAGTAGTACTGCCGGTAATATTGTCGAAGGTTCTTCTCGCGCTGCGCTCTCTTTGTTCGAATCGTCTTCGTGAGCTCTCGTACCTTGCCTTCATGTTGCTGCCTCGGATGCGATACCGTCCATTCTTCAACTTGTCCCTCTAGGCCTCTAGGTCCAATATCTCAGGATCGGCTCCCATATCTCGCCACACCTCGTCGGGCACCATGTCTCGCCTCGCTTGTGGATCACGCGTTAAGCTCATGTGCGTGAACAGATCAATTAGACAATCGTCTATCGGCTCGCCGGCGACGACTCTCTCGAGGTGAAATTGGACCTTCTCGTTAATGTATGCGCCATTAAAAGTGGCCCATCTCGGGTCGTGGCGCATCATCTGGTCGCGCACGGCGTCGGATGCGTTGCCTATAGTCGGCGGCTTTTGCATTAATACATATGCAGCCCATGGCAGACGCGGGAACGTACCATTGGCAGCGTTCGCGGCTCCTCTGCGAAATGTCTTCGGTCCCAGCGCTTTCTCAAACCCGGCGTCAAGAGTCTGTCGCTCCATGTCGTCGTTCAATTTGTGGTATGGCAGAGGTCTCTCCTGGGAAACTGGGGAGCCATCGAATCTGCGAAATACGGGTCGCTTCAGCCACTCCTCTTTCCACCGAAGCGGCGTGCAAATGCTTAATCTACGGTTTCGGAGTCGAAAGACACTCGTTGTAGTAGTCAAGCTTGGCGCGTCAAAGGCTTGGTCGCTGATCGCAAGGCTAATAATGACTGTGATAATGCAAAACATAAGTCTTCTTATACCGGTGAAGAAGAAGATAGTCCTATAAAGTATTAGCAATTTTTGAGAGCATTAAGAGAAGCGGGTAACACACGGCTTGGGCTTCCTGTCTACTCCTTTGTGATAAGAAAATTTAATTGCCATAGTTAAAACGTCAATACCTGTTTCCGGATGGCGCACCACCGACAGGCATATGTCTTCATAGCACAGTGCTTTTGGTCGTCCGCGCGATATAGTCTCCTGGTAGAGCATGTTCTCGAGCAAACGAGAGTCTTCGTCGACAGGTTGATCCATATCCTCGTCTGAGTCATCAACTCTGACGCCTTGGGGACCATACAGGTCAGTGATCGGAATGGTCTGGTCTGCTTTGGTCTTGGTCTGGTCTAGACCGCCAAGACTTGGTCTGGTTTAATGATTTCTCGAGACCATGGTGACCAAGAACTGCTATTAATAGATCAAGCTGAGAGACGAAGCAGGTAATTTAGAAAGAAGTTTTCCTTTTTCTTGCCGTCTCACTATTACGGGAAAAGGGGTAATCAACCTGCGGTCCTTCTTGCAACAAAAGATTTATACGTTGTTACTCGGCAGACGTAAGTTCTGTTGACTAGTCGGCGGTGATGTCGGCGGCCTTCACAACGTCTCCTGTCGCCACCCCTTCACCAACTCCTACATCGCCCGTCTCGACACCGTCAAGCAGCCTTACCCGGTACACTTTCTCTGCTCAATATTCCACGGCCCCAGATGAGTTTGTGCAGGATCGCATCACATACATCAAGCGCGATGCAGTCGCAAACAAAGGCTGTCGCCCCGGTTCCTCACACATCTGGAAGTACGGTCTCCAGTACATCCGGTGTAGTGACAAGAAGGAAGTATACTACTGTCATGAATGTGTAGCCGGAAAATACAAGCAGGAGCTATTTGTCATTAACGGGACCTCTCGAGCCGGGAATCACCTTAAATAGAAGCATCAGATTGATTGCCAGACTAGAGTAAAGAGAGGAGGTTCTGCACAGAAGTCGGTGCTTGATCAATAAAAGGATGCGCGGCTTCCAGTGCCTTTTTCTGGAAGGAATCCATAGAGAAGTTCAAAGAATTGCTGATCCGTTGGATCGTATGCTGCCATATCGCTTTCTTTAATTGGAGAATCGACATTTTCGTGCACTGCTCTTCTTCTTAAGCCCTGCGCTGATGAACCACCTACCTAAGGCAGCGCGGACCATTCGGAGCTGGGTAATGACTGCGTTCGAGTCGAAGAAGCAACAGCTCACGGAAGAACTCCATCAAGCGCGCAGCAGAGTTTCCATATCATTCGATCTATAGACGTCGCCGAACCCTTACGCTATCTTAGGCGTCGTCGCTATGTGGATTGATGCCACTGGTAAACGAAGGTCCACCGTTCTAGGCATGCGACGTGTTTACGGCGAACACACTGGCGAAAATGTCGGATCACTCGTTGTTAAGGTACTTCAAGAATACAAGATCGACGGAGACTCGATTGGGTATTTCATGCTAGATAACGCCTCGTTAAACGACACCGCTGTTGAGTTTATACTCAAGCAGCTCTGCCCGTGGATGAACTCTAAACAGCGCCGCCGTCGTCGACTTAGTACGCTGCCTGGGCCATATCATCAATCTCTGTTGTCAGGCATTCCTGATGGGTCGGAACTGTGACAAGTATCTTGCAAAGCTTGAAAAGCATCACTTACGAGGAGACTACGCAAAGGTAGAGGAGCTGTGGAAAAAGTTTGGATGTCTGGGTTCACAATCTAGTGCGGTACATCAGGCTCACCCCGCAGCGTCGCGAGGAGTTTGCCACAATCGTGGTCGGTGGTGACCTCTCCGCATTTGATGGACTCGAATTGATCCAGAATAATTCGACGCGGTGGAATTCCTGGTTTCACTCCATCACTCGCGCATTGAACGTTCGAGAACGTCTGGAACTCTTCTCAGCCCGTCACGTCCCTGCAAAAGGCTCTCATGGGATTGCAAACTTTAAGTTGGACGGATAGCACTAGTTTAAACTCGAGCAGATCGAACTGGCTCTCAAGGACTTCTATGCCGCTACATTGCTCACCGAAGGCAAGAAAACGTCGCTTGCTAACTGGTTCTCAACCTTAGATTGCCTGCTTCGAGAAATAAGCGAGACGAAGGATCACTACTTTAACATCTATGCGAACGATAACAACAATTTCACGTGGGAGTACCTACAGGACTGCGCGGACGCCGCCTAGTCTAAATGCGCCGAGTACTATAACAATCAGCAGTTAAACTAGAGAAATCGCTTCCCCGAAGATACCGACCTTCCGCCTACATACTTCGTAGCTCAAGTGCTTAATCCGTATAGGAAATGGGCCTAGTTTAGATAAGAATAGGTACTTCCGGGTAATAAGGAGAAGAGGAGGTAGTTCGATAGCGCGTAGCTAGCCGTGAAAGAGCTTTGGGAAACGGAGTATAAGGGAAGATATCCCGTTAAGATGGTTCTCCCTTTAAAGCCTGCAGAGAGAGACCCGGATCCTGCGTTTGATCGTCAGCGGGAGCATAAACGCATCCGAATTAACGGCCCAGTTTCTGCAACGGACTTATACGAGCAATATATCGCCACTGACCGACTTTATAACGATAAGGCAGGACACGACGATGCCATTGCGTACTGGCTTTCCCGCTATGACTCCCAAAGAGATCTCGCCCGCTTTGCTCTCGACCTTTTTGCCATCTCACCTATGTCGGATGAGTGTGAACGCCTGTTCAGTAGCGCCAATCTCACCGTGGTTGACCGCAGGGGCAGGCTAAAGGCTGATATTATCGAGGCATGCGAGTGTGTCCGGGCTTAGATTGGAGAGCCGAGTGTAGGAGATGACAGCGACGGCGATTATTAGATATATACGATTGAGGCAGCTTTTAAGAACAGTCGGTGATTTCTTGTATAAGTTGTTGCTTTGACTCTTGCCTTGCATAGCCCCATCCTTGTTGGTCTGGTGGTCGGACCGGTCCGACCAACCGGTCCGACCAAAGTGACTTGGTCTGGTCTGGTCTGGGGGGTCAGACCAGACCAGACCAGACCATTCCGATCACTGATACAGGTCCTCATACGTCCCATCGTTCGGCCTCCTCTTCTCGTTATCCACAATCTCACCGGGTCGAGCTCCAGTAAACGCAAGGAGCAGATAACAGCCCGAGAGGTAAATGCGATGTCGCTCAGAAGGAAAGACGCCTTCGTCGTACGCGATGTTGAAGGTCTGCAGAACTAAAAGGTCATCGGTGCCAAGGACTGGCTTCCCATCAATATTCGGGGGTCGGAGTTTCCACTTAGAAACCAGAACGGTATCGTGCCACTATAGGAACACCGTTCTGGTTAGACCCCGCCAATGGCGAAGGGAACACGAAGCGAACGTACCTTTTGGACCTCCCTATTATCGTTCCTGTCGAAATATCGACCCGTCACGCTGCTGTACAGCTGCTTGTACGACGCTAATATTCCCACGATATACCTTCGGACGTAATCTTCTATCGTTCACAAAGATGGTCGAGGAAGTCCATCGCCATCGGCCGATCGAGTCTTTTGATCACGTCCATCCAAGGACCACTTTCGGTAGCACTGCAGTATCTGAGTGCTCGTCAGCAGATAAATTCCTGCATTTCGCTGAGGGAAACGCACATCTTCTATTTCCTCAATATCCGGGCGATGTTGATCTTGGTTCCGTCGGCGTAATCCGGCTTGAGAAAGCGCATATCCTTCAGCTGTTCACGAAGGGCGGCGCGCTGTCTGGCGTCGAGAGCGCCTGGTTTCGTGATCGTCCGTCTCTCTTTCTCGCGTTGAGCAAATCGTCGGAGGAAGTCGGCATGATGTGCGCCATGCCTGCTATTTCGTTGTTTGACACCGACGGTTGGCGCCATGGTCGGCTCTACCGTGGACTTGGCAGAGCGTGGGAGTTGGTGATTGGTAAGAGCGATGGGAAGAGGAGCTTGACCGAGACTGTTGGACAGGACGAGCGGAGTAGCTGGCTTTTAACGCCAGTATACTACGTCCATGGACCCCACTGACGTCCATTTTGGTGATGTCAAGAAACGGACTCTTGCCTTCGGGTTCACGACGGAATATGAAGGAAGCGGGTGCGCACTAAAGTCGGCTGAATGGCAGCGAGCCAACTGGTCAGCCGTGTGGACTGCCCCACCCCCTGGCTGGGTTGCTGACAGCTACGTAACCGGACCCCAGCCAGGTAGACTGTACTTCGGGGCAGCCCCTGCCGCTCACTGTCGAGCCCACCAAAGGCGGCGGCACGTCCCACCCGATTCGGTGGGCCCGACAGCGCTTTCTATCATTAACCTGTGTTCTCTCGGACTTGACCCCACTAGTCTCGTGTGTTCCTTTTACAGAAGAAGCAGGGCCCTGAGGCACGTGACATCGTATGACACCAGGCCCTATTGCTCTGATCCTAGCCTCGGACATCAAAGGAACGTTCTCAAAACGTCCATTATCTCCTGTCTACATCTTCTCAGCCTCCTCTCAGCCTCGTGTCGGGTCTTGTCAGTGTCGATAATAATATCTACCGTTGCCTTTTCCTCACGAGCAAGTACACATAAGAACGAAGAGACCATCGACAACGTCGCAACCGCTTTATTAATATCTATTCTAAATAGTTCGCTATAGTTTTCTCTTCGCCTAGTAGCCGTACTCAACGTTATCTGGCTAGCACACCCTCTCTAGTCTCCTTTAATGTTTATCTGCCTATTTGGCCTCCGTTCTTATTCTTCCTGCGTCGGAAGGTTGTGCTCGGCATCTTAATCAACTACCCTGCCGAAGTATGCTATAAAGTCCTCCATAACCAGTGCCCTAGCTGTCATGCGCCTATCGTGGTGGCCATGCACCTAGACATGGCGCCGGTATATTGTTTTACCGTGCCGCCGTTAAACGTCTTTAGGGGTTTTATAGGGGCCGAATTCGTAGTAAGTGCGGAAGATAGCTCCTCAGAGATCAATATAGTCACCTTCGGGGCCCCGTGCTATTTATTACTCCTTACCGTAAGCCCAGCTATAGTAGTAGGTCCGGAAACTAGGCTCGCCCATATCATATCTGCTAATAAACTTAAAATATATATTTATTTTCTAGGTGGCATAGCGAAGGAACTATTCTAGTACCTATAGTGTAAGCCTTGCGGACTCGTGAACTACTAGCGACGTTTTATTAGCGGTTCTTCTATTTATTCGTAAGGTTAGCCCTTCCGGCGCTCCGACCCTTACGGACTTATTAGGACTTAGTTCCCTATATATTCGTCTAGTTTATGCCTTTGCACCCGACAATAAACCGTGCTATCTAACTTACTTTCCGTGGAAAAGGGCGCGTTATTACCTAGTATCGGGTCTTAAAATAGGGTTAGCAGGTAATTCTGCGCAGTATAATAGCGGTGGTAAGTAATCCGCTTTATAAAAGTAGTAGTATTGCCCGTGAAATACGTATAAGTTAGATCTCCGCCTACGCTACATCGCGTGTAGATGTTATAAATAGTGGCTGTATAGGTAAAGACACGATTGAGCTAGTGCAGTAAGCGAAGTAGAAGATACGGCCGTGTATAGTAGGTTTTAAAGGATAATAGGTTGCACCTTTCGTATACGAAGTATATTTCCCGTATAGAAGCTATAATAACGGTTGGTCGGTCTAAAGCTCAGCGACTGCCTAGGTGTATTACCTATCGCTAGCACGCCTGGTTTATATAATACGCATTAGAGGGTAGAGCGTAGTAGCTAGCGGCCATTTCGGGCCACTTATGCTTACTCTTCTATACCGTGATATATAGTGGTGCCATAGAACACTTATACTATTATAGTACCGTAGCGTCGTTAAGAGTTTTCGGGCAAGGTATACCTAAAGCAAAGGAACGAGTTAGTGCCTATAACGTTACTACTAGAAGTCCTTCCCGGAGGGGCAGTCCTCTTATGCTATCCTCGCATTAAATGCACCCTTCCTTAGTATTTAGCGCAGCACCACCATTTAGAGATTAGATACTATATCTTAGAGTCTAGTTATGTCTATAGCTAAGAGTTAACGACCTGCCGACTTAGACGGGACCCCCCTATCCGTAGCGGGACCTGCCTCTCGCCTTAGTATAAACCGTATTAGATACATAGCTGCCCTCGATGCGTTGGTCGCAAATAGCTAAATAGCCCGATAGTTAGAGGATAGAAGTTGTTATCTTAACTTTGTCTTAGTCGCTTCTTATACATTAACTTACGGCGTATTAGCCTTAAGCGGCATCGCTAGAAAGTAAAATTTAGGCCTATTTTACGTTATAAGTCGCACCTATTATTATATTATACTAACTAGTAGTAGATAATAGTTTAGATCGTAAACCCGTGCCTAACGGCTAGCTAGTTTACTCCCGTTAGATTCTCTTTTTAGAGTTCCTATATATCTCTTCGCGCTTAGTCTCACTTAATAAGTATTCTTTCGGCCCTCCTTACCGCCTTTATCTTTAACGCTATAAAGCGCCGCCTATAGTTTAACTTCTAGAGTCGAGTAGGATACTAGGAAGCTTATAAGATACGAAGAATTAACGAAGAGTCGCAGCCTACCGAGTCGAACGCTAGCGGAAGTCCCCTAGGTCAAACGGGGATGCCTAGCGGCGAAAGCGGAAGCATAGCTATAAGCGAAGCGGACGGCACATAGGCTCGCGCCACCTTATATAAAGGAAACAAGGCTGATGTTAATACTACGGCAATTGCGCGCCTCTACGCACGAACCTCTAACGCATCACCTAATATTATAACGACCGGCGTTATTCCTAAGGGATAAACCTATCGAGGGGTTTATATTAGTAGATATAATCGGGCGTGGTTTAAGTAATAATAAGTATATTACGTTAGTAATAAGTCGGAGGTTATAGACTATAGACTATAACTAGGTAATTAGAATTAGAGATAGAATCGTAATAAAGATCTATAATATATTAAAAGCTATCGAGCTATCTATCTAAAGGAGTAAAAGTAAGTAGCTATATATACCTATAGAGACTATCCTTAGATTATAGGCCTAGCTATAATCCCTAACGTTAGATCGTATAGAGCGTAGTAATCTTATTAATCCTAGATCGCTTAGATCTCTACGATCTCCTTAATCCTATATCTATTAGATAGTCGTACTAACTATTTATCCGTTAGACCGTATTACGTGCTTAACGCGGTCGACCGTTAGCGGCCTAGTAGCCGTAGTCGTAATACGATATCTCCCCTCCTTTTAGTCTTATCCGTAAGACTTACTATAGCTACCTTAGCCGCCGTATATAAATATACCCTTATCGCGTTATACGTAAGTATATCGTTCCTTATTTCTTTATCCTTTTAGGATATACTACTAATAGTATATTTAGTTATATACTAAAAAATCGTTCTTAAAAAGCCTCTAAGCGCGCTACTCTTACTAAATATATTAACTTAAGTAGAGATCTTACTAATATACTATATACTTAATACTTTAAGGTAAAGAAGATAAATTATTAGATAGCCGAAAATTCTTCGCGCTATAATAATTATATTGCTAGTAGTCGTCCCTATTATAATAGTGTTTTAGTAGCCTCTTTTTATAGGTATCTTTTAATTCTTTTTATACGTAGTAGCTAACGTATTTCTTCTAGTAATTAAATTATTAGTAAAGTAGTATAGGCTATATTTTAAAGAGGAGGAAGCTAGGGAAGCCTTATTAGAGCTTTAGGTATAGCTTATAAACCTTTAGTCGTAAATATCTATCGCCGTTAATCGTTTAGCTTATATCTAGAAAATTCGGAATTATATAAAGGAAAAGAGTTCTAAGTTATTTCGTCGTAGTATTTAAGAAGTAGATACTAAGGATAGCGTTTTACCTACGCTCGATATATATAAGTATTAGGTAGTAAATAACTTATAATCGTTAGGCGTTCTTAATAAGGCGAATTAGTCCTTATTTAGTATTAGTAAGGAGTTTATAGATCTTAGTCCTTTAATCCCTCTTAAACCTTTTAGTAAAATTATTAAAGTAGAGAGCTATAGTAGGTTAAGTACTTAAGTAGTTCCTAGGTATTTTCCTCTAGTCTATATCCCTTTACTTAATAAGGTATTCTTATTACTAACCTTATTTTCTTATATCTAGTATTTATTCTATTTTATATTCTTAATTATTATTAACTTCGATTTTTTCCTATAGTTTAGCGTTTTATAGTGCTAGTTTTAATAATAAGATATAAAATATTAGGTATATTTATATTATTATTAGTAGCGAAAGTTCGTAGTTAACTTTTAAAATAGTTTTCTTAACCTTAAATAGTCTAAGTTTCTTAAAATCTAATTTATTACTTAGTCGTTTTATTTTAATATTTTATTATATAAGGTAAACTATATCTCCCTCTTAAAAGATTAGTCCCTATAATCTTTTCCTATTATAGTAAGTAGATATTTATTCTTTAATAAATTAAAGTTCTTATTATATTTCTTTATATAATTTTTATAGCTAATCTATTTATAGTATCGCTCGTTCTACTTATAGTCCTTATCGAGTAACCTTAAATACTTCTAGGTTATATCTATAATTAGCGTATACTAGTAAGAGCTTAGTTATTTCTATAACTAAGCTATTATAAGCTAGTTACGCTATTAGTAGTTTAACGGGGATAAGGGCATATACCTAAAGCACGCGCAGCACGTAGTAAAGGATTAGCAGAGCAATTAACTACGCAATTATCTAATTACTTAGTCTATATATAGCTCTATAGGCTTTAGGTTATAAATACGAGTCTTAGAGATTTCTTTACTCTATGCTCTTTGTTTCTACTAGAGTCGCGTAACTAACGGTATCTACTTTAAAGGAAAAACAAAAATTTAAATTAACTATAATTAAGGATGCTGCTTAATTAGATAATCGAGGTCTTTAT